TGTTGAATGAGAGTTTTAATTTGAATAAAAGAGCCATTAATTCTCTTTTATCTTTATCTTTAAACAAAACTTCTTCTCCTCTTTAAATTTTGCGTGGAAATCTAAAATTCTAGGCTTTATCCCTTATTTTGTGGAGTTTGACTTAGATGATGTGAATTTATCCAGTCAACATTATTTTGTACAAATTAACACACATCAGCAATATATTTTCCACAAAATCAACCACAATGCAATATCAAACTTAACGATGAAGAAAACTATGAAATTATGCATGAATGACTCATAATGCAACTAGATCGAACCTAAATCTAGCAATAATTATGGGTAAAAATGTAGAAAATATAGTACTTTTATACGCTTAATACCCCAAACTCAAACTGTTGCTTTTCCTCAAGCAATGCATGACATCCACTTTCTCATAGTAATTAGACAACATCACTCTTACACTTGCTTTGCACTTGTTATCTCAAAACCTTAGCAATTTTCTGCCAATCATCTTCAAAGGTCAAGACAACCAGAAACTAACTAAATTCAACCTGTGATGCTCGTGTAAGTGTGTGTTCTTAGTCGAGAAGGCTCATTACCATGGGTATTTGCAGAGAATAATAGAATTATCAAATTAATTAATAAGGCAAAAGATGTCACAATAATTAATTAGCTTAATTAGAGCCTCAACTTATCACAACTACCTGCAAGTACTTGAGTAGTAAGATGCTGTCAACAATGAACCCCTAGCCTTTTAGGTAGAGTCATCCCGTGAAGACTTTCATTCACTCATGCTATTCACGACTATCTTTCCTACTTAGTATTCACTAAGCATACTGAATTTTCTTTAGTAGCGGAGTGTTCTAGAGCTAAAAATTTATTGATGTAATTTATTCGGCTAGAGCCAGTTGGGCACCTCTAGCAATTCAAATAGAACTTAAACAAAAATGCATGATAATTAAGTATTCACCAAAATACTCACAAGTCAACCAAACATGACATTCAATAAATAGTTATAGCATCACAAGAATCATAAAGGCAATCTCAAGTTATCTCTAAGTCCTAAAATTCTTGACATTAAAATGCTATCGGCAATTTTCTCATCATAGGTAAGTACAAAGGCTCGTCATTTGTTTATGTCTAAATGTCATGGAAAACTTGATTAAGCAACACAAACAATGCAAAATGACAAAGTATGACATAACACATGCAATATGACAAGACTAATAACAACCCCAAACTCGAGATGCAACTAAATTAGATGACTAAATGAATACTATTAATTATAAAACAAATCCCCTCCAAACTCGAGAGGAGCATTGTCCTCAATGCATGCAAAACGAAAGGGTTATTCAGAAAGGTCGTCACCTTGAATTGTAATTGCCCTTCGAGCCGTTTGTTTGATTTTGTTTGCTACTTGCGATGGTTAGGAACGTGTTGCTGGTGGTGCGCTCGGAATCCTCTATCCTTAACCTCATCACTCGGGTGAATTACGCTTTTAGATTTCGTGGCTATGGGTTATTGTATCCTAAAATTCAAGCAAAACAAAAAAGATAACTATTAAATAACAAGAGAAACTAAATTAAATAAATAAAGGCTAAAATAAAAATAAAAAATAAAAGGAAAAATCAATAATAAAAATACTGAAGGAGAGCATATTCATGTTTCTCTGAGCGTAATCACTTCCTTGTTGTCACACAATCGCCCGTATACGTCTCGTAATACGAGCTAAAGATGTTACATCAACATATCAAATATTTGCTAAACATAAATGTTTAAAATTTTGTTTCGGTTTAAAATTCTCCTTTTTACTATTTAAATTTGTTTCCTTTAACATATGTATAGTCATAACGTGATAATTTATCATTCTAAACAAAATTAATTTATGCACCAATTAGACAGTTCCATGTTGTTTCATATTTACTTACAACTGTCTAATATTGCTTGATTTAAAACCATTTTAAGACCATTCATAGTTCGCGTTCATAAATACGATTATAACTAAAACTAACCATAATTAAACACTCCTAAATTACTATTACATACCCCTTTTAAAATAAATCTGATAAAATAACCCGATGAATATAATGTGCATGCCGTTAATAAGTCAAAATTAGGATGTCAATTATCCAAAAAAAATTAGGATGTCTTACTGATATTGTTGGTAGGTTAATTTCCATAAGATGCTGGCAAGCTCCTCACTTCATGTCATCTACTTTATTCGACCCTACGCTTGAAAATCATCACGCGCTAAGTAAAACTTAGTGAGGTAGTAACATAGCTATAGTAATATAACACATAAATTTCATAAATTAATATAGCATTAAAACAGTAATTCATGTAAAAACATTAAACTTTCAAACCGTGCTATTCGAACTGATTTCCTTCTAAAAACCTGAAAATTAACATCTCGTGATTTTATCAAAATCATGCAAATCAATATTAAATATCATAAACAATTCATAATTTCATGATGATTCTGAATAATATATGATAAAAGAACTATATCATGATTTATGTTAACTGAAATGTTGTTCTTAACTTTCATATTCATTTTCATAACCCAATGCATATATATTAGAATATTAGGTACGTGAGTAGAACTGAAAGACGCGCGAGGCACAATACGGTGTCAATCATCACTAAAACTAAAACTAAAACATATGATTCACTTCAGTGCAATCATAACATGAGCACCAACGTTGCAAATAACTGGAAATTTATAATTAGGGGTGTTCATTCGGTTAAAACGGTGGTCGACCGAATCGAATTACCATTAATCGAATTAACCGAACTTTTTTTTCTTTAACTGTTAACCGAACCGAACTTTTTTTGAAAATAATTCGGTTAATTTCCGAATTAACCGATTGTTTTTTAAATTTTTTAATTTATATAAAAATTGAATATTTTTTAATTAAAAAAACAATTTACAATTAATTTAAATAATATATAATTATAAAATAAAATTTTCATATGGATTTTTTAATTAATTAATATTGATTTTGGTTTAAAAGTTATTGGATATTAAATTATTAATTGGGTTTTAAAAAGTTTGGGTTGAGCTCATATGTTATATATAATATATTTGATATTTAAAATTTAATTTCGGTTAATTAACTGATTTCGAACCGAATTAACCTTTAACCGAATTCTAAAAGTATTATTAACCGTTTTCTGACCGAACTAATTCGGTGACCGACTGAATTAACCGTACTAATTCGGTTCGATCGGTTAATTCGGTTAAAACCGAAAAATGAACACTACTATTGATAACTAATAATTGCAACCATAACACTCCAGCTATCACATTTATGCAATACTATCCACAATTCTCAAAACTTGGAAATTAGCCCCTTTTATATTTCAAGCTTTCAAATTGATCTCCAAGTCTCATAGAATACTTATAATATCATTTCTAGACCTTAGAAAAAATTTCCAAAATTTTTCCCTAATTTCTTCATATGGTCGAATATTTCAAGTAGCTTTAGGCATGAATTTTTCAAGCATGAATTTTTCAAGCATGAATTTAATTTCTAGCATCAAATTCATACTATTCTAATCATAATAACATCAAATTACATCAAAATCTCAATGTTCTTAAAAACCCTCATATGGTCGAATGCTTTATATAATCCTACACTTGATTTTAAACATCACACACGCTTGAAAATTAATATCCGACATCAATAACATAGAAATATTTCATCAATCTTTCAAAATCATAAACCCTAGATAAAGTCTAATTTTCAATCTCATGAAATTGACATGTTCACCATGTAATATTTATATCAAATGATAGAGAATTTCGTATAGATTAATTCTTTATCTAATAGCTTAATCCAAAAATCAATCATGTAGGCTTAAAAATTAACTTGAAAATTTTCCTTACCTTACCATGAAGACTCACGGACAAAGCTTGATGGAAAGCAAAAATTGTCATGAAATTTCTAGCAAATTTCATGAACATTTGGCATTTAATTAACTTAATTGAATTTTAATTCATTTAATGGGAAATTCCAAAATTACCATTAATGAATCTTGATAATTACCAAATGTCATTTCATTATCTTCCATTAAAATATTCCATAGTAAAAGATGAAAAACTTGACTTTGACTTTCTACTTTGGCCATGAAATTTTTGAAAATTCCATTTTAGTCACTAAAATTTCCACTGTTCGGCCAAATTTGAAATATTACCCTGTTCTGAGTTAAATTTCTCTGATCTAAAATAGGAAAATAATATTTCCAACCATTAGCTAACATCCTTCAAATTTTGATTCGATTCGATTATCCGGTTTTTATACTGAATTTTAACGCTTTATAGTTTTTAACACAAATCTCGTACAAAAAATATGATTACCACGAAAATACTTGTTTTAGGCCAAACCTTTCATTTACATACTAAAATATATTACTTTTCCAAAATTATATTTTTGGTCATTGAACTTTTACAAATTTATACTTTAGCCACCAAACTTTCAAAACCTACATTTTAGTACTAGCCAAATTTTGGGGTATTACACTTGTTGCGCTCAACATGGGAACCGATGTAGTGCTTAAATCGTTTTCCATTGACTTTAAACATAGTCGATGGTGAACTTTGTACCATGGGAGAAAGGTTTTACTACCTCCAACGGCCTAGACCATCTCAATTCCAGTTTTCCTGCGATAAGTTTTAACCGAGAATCGAAAGGAAGTATTAATTGGTCTGACAATGGTTTCAATTCTAACATGGGAGGTTACTCAATAGAAGATTTTTCGAGTTTACCTTCCTTACCTGAGTAGTTTAATGGTTCGAAATATTTACACGATCGATTTACCATCCAGTGGGCTTCATCTTGCTCTTCATCATTCGGATCTTCAATTTCCTCCAGTTTGCCATGGCAATTCTCCTCTACTTCAAAGCTGAATTTCGTGGCGGCGTGAATGATTTGGCATTCTTCTGGATCGTCAGCATGCTTTAAGTTTGGAAAAACATCCAGTTTGACTTGTTGGTCATTCACTCTCATAGTGAGTTATCCCCTTTCGACATCAATTAAGGTTCTTCCTGTTTCTAGGAATGGTCTTCCAAGGATAATAGGTGCGAACTCATCTGCTTCACAATCCAGAACAATGAAGTCGGTGGGAAAAATAAATTTATCAACTTTTACCAGTATATCTTCAATTTTTCCATCTGGTTGCACATAGGATATGTCTACAAGCTGTAGCATAACTGTCGTAGGTTTCGCCTTCTCGATACCCAATCTTCGGAACACAAATTTAGGCATAAGGTTTATACTCGCTCCAAGATCGCATAATGCCTTTCCGACGTAGCGATTTTCGATTGCACATGGTATTGTGAAGATACTGAGATCTTTTAGTTTGGGTGGCATTTGATTGTGCAACATGGCCATGCATCCCTCCGTCACAACAACTGTTTCAAACTCTCCTATCCTTGTTCTCTTAGAGAAAATATCTGTAAGGAACTTAGCATAGTTTGGTATTCGCTCGATCGCCTCAACCAATGGCAAGTTGATGTGAACTTGCTTTAAGATCTCCAAGAATTTCTTGAACTGACATTCTTGTTTTTGTCTTTTCAGCCTCTGAGGGAATGGCAGTGGAATTCAAAATTCTTCATTTTTCCCATATGTTTGGAATTTGATTGATGGACTTGTCGTTGTATCTGGAATTGCTGAGGCGTGTGGACTTGCTCGGGCATCCTTCGATTTATCAATATCGATTGGGGTAATGTTGCTGGTTATATCTTCTTGGACAGGGATCTACTTTGCTGGTTGAGTTCTCCATGTGGGTTGTGTAGGGGTTTCAATTAGCTTTCGTCCACTCCGGGTGGTGATTACCTCACTCTGCTCGTGGCCTGCTCTCTTTGTGGCCTTAGTATCAACGGGTAAACCACCTAGTGGTCTTATGTTCATATTATGGACAAGTTTGTGTCTCCAAGGATTTCAAAGTTGCCTCTTGGTTCTGTAGTATCATCTCAGTCCTGTTAATGAAAGCATCAGTCCTTTTCATGAAAAATATTATTCTCAATCATGTAAGATTCAATTTTTAACATGAACGATTTGAGAGTATTTTCCAAAGAACAAGATGGTGTTGATTGTTGCTGCAGCATCTGTTATCTTAGCATGTTCTGCTAGAATTTCGATGCTTGTGAATTCTGATTGTTCTGATTGAGAAATTAGTGTTCTCCCTCCAAGATGGTGTGTATATGTTGGACATTACATTGTTGTTCAGGTTGTAATTTTCAATATAGATCCTAATTGGAATGAAGAAAATCAACCACAATACAATATAGAAAACTATGAAATTATGCATGAATGACTAATAATACAACTAAATTGAACCTAAATCTAACAATAATTATGGGTAAAAGGTAGAAAATATAGTACTTTTAACAGAAATTTTAAAGGTTTAAATTCTAAATAATAAAAGGTTCAATTTGTTTACTTGTTTAATCTATGGCCAATTCCTCCAATGATAATAAATAATAGAAAGAAAAACCATATTCAAGAAAAAAATCTTTTGACAAAATCAATTAATTTGTATATTTAAGGATAAAAAAATTGATCAACAACATTTGTTCAATTCCTTTTCTAAAATTTTTATGTGCGATCAGATCTGAACCAAGCACAAATACTTGAAAAAAAATTAGAACCAAGAAAAGGAACTACCGTTCTTTGAGCCCTGCATCAGCTAAAAGGCAGAACAAAAAACCTCAACGATTACATGCACTACTGCCATAACCGAACTGGCTGCAATGCCAAAGAAGAACAATCACAAAACACTTTTGGAGGATACCCGGGACCGTTGACTGGTTAAAAAGAAGTAAAATATGAATGCTGTTGAAGCAATGAGTCTCCAGATAAACAAATTACTGCTTCCGATACTCGGGCTTTAGAACCCAACGTGATCCATTTCGATCCTTCTCTAGTTTAGCAATTTCCTTCAATAGATTCTTGAACAGAGGCAGATTGTTCGAGGGTATTTGGTCCTTGAAGTGATCGACAATGCTGGCTGAATCTGTGCTACCGCCTCTTTGTTGTATAAATGTACATATCCGACGTATTAGTACTTCAGGTTGCACACAGGATACGTTTGAAGATGACCTAGAACTAGAAGTCCCATTAACGGCAGGTCTTCTGGAGTTAGATGAACTTGAAGCCAAGCCAGACTGATGTTCAAGCCCAGCACCGACGGCTTGTTCTTGGTTTCCACGGATTTTAGCTAGCAATTCTGCTGAAGTTAACGCCTTGCCGGCAGCAGCCCCAGCAGCTATGATACTGCTAGATGCCTCACTTGTGGATTTTACTAAATGAGAGTTCAGAGTTGAGCCGAATTTCTTTCTTACTGCTGATGGTGCACCAGCGGCTCCCGATTTCCCAGTCCAAGTAGGAACAGAAATACCATCATGGCTTCGAAGCATTCGTGATTTGCGTAGTGCTTCTGCAGCCCTTTGTGCCACCTGTGAAGCCTGTTCTTCCAGCCTCATCTTCTCCTCATCATGGGCATTCATTATAGCATCATGGTTCACAGCACTCTAGAGAAAAGAAGATATTGAAAGAAAAAGGATTAGAACTCCTAAAGCGCAGAAGAATAAAGGCAAAATTCATTTATTTTTGGTGGTAAATCATTTTAGATGAATTTAACTAGAAATTTCAATTGAAATGTGAAACTACCATTAGATGAAGGAAATCATTAGCGTAGATTGAGAAACATATCTTACATGTATTCCTTGGGCAACAAAAAGGCTCCTCAGAATGTTTTTTTCTTCATCTACTTCGCCATCACTATGATCATCTTTTTCTTTTCCTTCTCTCTTAGAATGACCACTATTTGAACAATTCCTTTTCTACTGGCAGTATGAGCATCACGAGAAACAGCTGCTTTCGAATGTTCCTGCTTATGCTGCTTATGTTCCTTCATACCTACAATATTTACATCTTCAGACAACTGGCCAAAAATATTAGATGTTTCGGTTGACCCACTTTCTCCATCATCATTCAGGGTGAAAAGATCCTTCATATCTCGAGCTTTAAAGAACCTTCTCTGCTGGGGGTTCTTCAATATCTTATTGGTAAGAAAATGTTTGTAAATCTGCCGATGGTACACCTTCTCTTCAATTGTTCCGCGAGTAATCAATCTATATACAGTTACGTCTTTTTTCTGGCCAATACGCCAAGCACGCTCCCTGGCCTGTTATCGATGACAGAAAACAGTTGTGAAAAGTGAAATCACAAGGTAGCCAGAGCCACCACCCTTTTTTCTCTTTGAATAACTTCATATGAACTATGGTGCTTTAGGCATGTTAAACACTATGTCAATTAAAAAGCAGTCAAAAGATACCTGCATGTCTGTCGAAGGGTTCCAATCAGGGTCAAATATGATCACCCTGTCTGCACCCGTTAAATTTGTTCCTAAACCACCAACTTTTGTGGTCAAAATGAAAATAAATATATCATCAGAGTTGTTAAATTCATCTATCAAGGCCATTCTCTGTTTTACAGGAGTCTGTCCATCCATTCTTCGGTAGCAATAATCACTAGTGGTCAAGAAGTTTTCAAGAATGTCGAGCATTTGCATTGTTTGAGCAAATAAAAGAACACGATGCCCTGATCCTTCCAAACATGGAGCACTTGGGCGACTACTTTCATTTTTCCACTTCGTTCAGGATTTCCATAATCTGGATTCTGGCAGGAATGTTCTCTATCAAGCAGATCAGGATGATTGCAGATCTTACGCATCACATCAATTCCATAAAGAGAATTTCTCCCATCCAGTATCTGTTCCACGTCTGAGCTAGCAAGAAATGCTCTATAGACAGATCTTTGTTCAGCAGTAAGGCTACAAAAAAGTACATGTTCTGTCTTTTTAGGCAGATGAGCATTCACGTCAGCCTTCATGCGCCGGAGGAGATAAGGCATGACCAAATCACGGAGGACAACAGCACACCTGAATGACATCCAATTTAAAAATTTAGAAATTGTTCATAAATAACAATTAAAGATTTCAGCATGAAGACGCACAAGATGACGAACAGGTACAACTTCCAAATTTCTTAAAACCAGCTAAAGCTTCTAGAGATACATGGTGTGCACCTGTAGGCTGTAGATACTTGTAATGGTGAAGCATTGGCATATCCACCAACAGATATAGGGACAGCAAACTCTGCTTCAAAACAGGCAAGACACCCAACTTTCCAGGGAAAACAAAATCAAATAATGACCATAGTTCACTAAGCTTGTTCTGAATTGGTGCACCAGTCATTATTATACGGTGAACTGTCTGAAGCTGTTTACAAACTAGAGTGATTTCAGCATTTGGATTTCGGATACGGTGTCCTTCATCCAAAACTGCATAACCCCATTCTATGTCAAGCAACTTGTCCCCTAGCAGTCGGAGTTGCTCATAAGTTGTAATCAACAACCCAGATTTCGACTGCAAAACTCTATTTATCAAAGAATCCCATTTTTTTCTGCTTTTAGAAGAAAAGTTCCCTTTGTAGTCGCTGTCAACAGAACCTTCACTTTCATCATCACTTTCTCCATCAGATTTGGTTTGCTTCTTCTTATAAGCAGGATCCTGAGCAGAATCATGTAGTATCTCAACATGAAATTTTGAATACCATCTACGTGCCTCCCTTCTCCATTGTCGCAAGAGTGTTACAGGGCAGACAACAATGCTTGGTTCATACAGGTTACTGAAGTGCAATGCTCCAAGAAAAGACAAGACCTGGACAGTTTTGCCAAGACCCATTTCATCCCCAATAATTCCACCAGCCCTTTGACAATGCAGTTCCCACAACCACTGCACTCCTACTTTTTGATAGTCAAAAAGTTTACAGAAAATGGTTTCCGGGATTTTTAACCCACCTTCAAGTGTCACATAAGAAGGGTCATTATCATCCATATCCTCTGAAGCCTCTTGGTTTTCCTCCTCATCATGGGAAGTCAAGTCATCCCTCACATCTTCTGCACAAAATTTAAGAAAGAAATCAATGCAGAAGAAAACAACTTTCAGCAGAAAATGCAAAAGTAGAATGTTCAACAAAAAACAAAACAGTTACACCGGAATTTTATCATGACCGATTGTTTCACAACTATCAAGAACAAACATTGAGTTCACTCATATTTGTTGCCCGTTAGAAAGGGAAGATAGATAAAGTGGTAACTTAAACTTTTTTTTAATAGAACTTAAATAGAAGTTATGGTAGTCAAGAAATGTCTAACAGCTTAGAAACAATTAAGCTGAGCATACCTCCCTCTCCTACATCCTGTTCCTCACGAGATATCCGCCTTCTCCATTTCTTGTCAGGCAACGGCCTCTTCTTTTTCCGTTTTGAGCCTTTATTCTTCTCTACCTCTTTTGCCTGAGGAAACTTTAAAGGTTTTTTTAGCCTTTGAAAGGGAAAGGTGGGTGCATCATCAAGTTTTGGCAAAGCATCGGAATCAAGCAGTTTCGTCGCCGGGCGAACTTGTGCAGCCTCGGATATGGACTTCGCAGCTCTAGCAACACTAGCGGAAACAAGGTCGTCATTCTCATCTTCTTCAAAAGGCACAGGCTCATTAGATGTACCAGGCTGTTGAAGACGGCGCTCAAATCCCTCAAGCTTATGAAAAGGAGTTAATATTCCCTTCCGCACCAATTCATCCCTTTCCTAAGCCAGAAATAGCATTGTATTAGCAGCATTCCTCTCTCCCTCTCTATTAAATATATCGTCTTCCCCCAGTTTTAAACAGAGGGGAAGTGTTAAACAAGTACAATCCCAAACACAGATTGCAGATATAAAAGATTATAATTCCTTCTCCCTAAACACAGTGTGTCTAGCAAACCAATAAGTAACACAATTAGGAACTATGATCAACTTACTGTTTCCACGAATCCTGCAGATGCAGCATCTAACACTGCATCAAAATCAACATCATCATTAAAAGAAACTGTTTTCTTCTTCTTCCCTTGATCTTTGGTAGGCTTTTGGGTTTCTTTAGATTTCCTCTTCAGCTTAGGCTCTTCCTTCACCAAGTCTTTCAACAACTTGTCATGTTTTATGCCCTTAGACAAATTTTCATTGAGTAACCCAGACAGTTGTTTCTCAAGTTGAGCCTTAGTGTGCTTGAGGCTCTTTAGTCTATCAGTAGCTAGCGCACGCTGAAGGGTTGAATCGCGTGAAGGTAACTTTGTAGCACTTTCATCATCCTCTCTAACCCCTTCCTCCAAGAACAAGTCCTTTGCATCATCATCACCACTAGCAACATCTTTCCCCTCTTCAACAGTGGATGCAACAGCGTCTATTTCAAATTCCACCGCCCTCAATTTATTCAAGAGTTTCGCTTGGTTGGCAGTCGATGATGGGTCATTGCCTTCCGACTTATCAGTAGGTTCCTCCTCAGTGCTCCCTCCTACTTCACTACCATCCCCTGCATCGTTTTCCGCCTGTCATTCAACACAATTGACCACTGTCAAATCTCCACACTCCAACAGCATTATCAACAATACATTAGAATTTTAAAATTGAATTGAAAGAGAGATTAGAGTTGAATACCTTGGCTAAGATATCCCGTTCGATATCCTCGGGATTTGCAGATGTGACGCCTAAACTACTCAACAAGATCCTATCCTCCTCCATCAAATTTCCCTTAAAAATCTCAGCTATAATCTCATCATATATATAAACAAATCAAAATCACGATGTGTTCTTCCTTCGAAGACCAATTCCGCCCCCTAATTTTAACAACAAAAATGTTCTAATATTTCAGTCATTGATTCAATTAAATCCAATTCATGTTCGACTCGTAAGCTAAACTATTCAGATTCTAAAAAGCACGGGAAAAAAAAGAGAAATCAATACGCAGAAATAATTGTGAATTTTGAAAAGAAAAGCATTTGAAGAAGAACTAGTCGACATACCCAAAGCTTTGCAATCCCAATCGGTTGCAAAAGTAAATAAATTAAAATTTGGTTCGTTCTTAAAGATTAAAAATATAATACATCAGAAACAAATTGAGAATTTTATTGCACCGATTCGTTGTTTGCGCCGTCTCCTTTCTCTCCTCCCCATCCAAATTTCTCGGTTGCTTCAATACGACCAAATGGAGGTCGTATTGGGAATAAAATGGATTTATTTTCTTTACGCTAACTTCCTACCTTCCTCTCAGATTAAGCGTCGAATAATTTAAATGTTGAATGATTCAGAGGTTCTGTATGAATTAGTTCTGAATGTGACATGTTGTTTAATAATAGCTCTAAATCATTCAGAATATACCTATATACTGAATCATTCAGCACTATTTTGTTGAATCAGTCAGCACTGAATCATTCAGATGTGCGAAATAAACGCGTGAATGTTAAATAATTCTATTAAGAGACAAACAAACAGCCCCTTAGGACTCTTATCAAAACGCGGCTTACATGAGCGTCTTATCCCACCTAGAATTTATAGGATAAACTACATAATAGTCCTTTATCTTTTATATTGTATACTTGTATTCATTAAATTTAAAAAGAATTTAATTTCTGTTAGTTACATTATTATTTTATTAAATTTTGATCACTGAAACATTGAATACTATTAGTTTAAAGACGTGACATATTTAAAAGTGTCTAATTTTTATTTTAAGCTCTAAATATTGGATAAAATACTAATTATGAATTACCTATAAACCCAAAGTGGTTTAAAAATAATATTTTATTTAACCATTTTTTTAGTATGCTTTTCTTCCAACCCTACTTGTATCACCAGTTGAATCAGTGGCCGAGCCACAGCTTGGTGTGGGTGGGTACGTGCTCACTCTGAAATTTGAATTTTATTTGATTAGTTATTTATTTTATTGATGGTGACCACCCTGAAATTTTTAGTGCCTTCCATGAACTCTAAGTTTTCTTCGATTAATTACTTATTTTAGTGACGGTGTTCATCCTGAAATGAATTTTTTTGGTATCTACTTCATTTAAAAAAATTTATATTGTTAACATATGTGTACTCATCCTCAAAAATATTTCTGGATCCATACAAGTGATTTCTTTAAAAAAAATGTTTAGTAAATAACTTTTTAAAGAGTTTTTAGCTTATTTGAGCATAAATAGTTGATTGATAGTCAAACTTTTTTTTTAGTGTTTAGTAAACACCTTTTTAAAAGAGTTGATTGTGCAAAATAAACTAAAAATGAAAACGCAGACGGTTTGAGAGAGCTGATTGTAAAATAAGACGTTAAATGACATATTTGACCTTATTATTTCTATAATTACATCATTGTCATAAAATCTAATCTAATAAAATAGCTTACATTCTATTTTTTAGTTGTAGATTCTCAAATATATTTTAGTTAATAAAATATAGCAAAACATGAAAGTGAAAAAATTGTTGTGTTTATATTTTATACAATGTTAATCGAATGTATCAATCTCACAAGGTTAATATTTGTAAATATTAAATTTAAAAAATATATTTAAAATTTTTAAAATTATTCACTAATTTCCTTAAAGAATTTTTACTTGTCAAAAACATTTTTCGGAATAATTTTACCCCGATGAAGACTAAAGTATTATAAAATATATATGTACTTAACAACTAAATGTATCATTCTATTATTTGTCATTTTACCTATATCAACTATCACCTAAATTTTATCAAACACTTCTATATAAACAATAAATCAAATTAATTTTTCAAATCAACTAATGAAATCAATTGATCAAACCATTTACCGAAATCAGCTATCAGTTATCCGATGACACCAGAAACAAGCTTGATACAATAGAAAATTTGGGTTCTCATCTACGAGCACCCGCATTGACACAATCACCAAAAGCTCCTTTATTTTAGCCCAGCCATGCACTGTTCTGGCATGACTCCCCGATGGATCAACACCTTGGGAGAGTGAGTTAGTTGGTTTGACTTGTCTAGAACGTTGTCTTATTTGTTGTATGTTGTTCAATTTGTGTGATATCATGTTCATATACAATGCATTTTGAGGCACGACTGAAACACGCAGCCTTAGAGCCACAATGCTCTCTGCAATTCGTGTTCGAGTTTATGTTCTTCATTAATATTTTTTACTACGGATTCAATCAAGGGGTAGGTCGAGAATGAAATCCTTCTTTTGTGTTCTCTCATGCAGTCATGTCTACGTCTACATTTCTTGAATCCATTGCCTGCTTTTCGTTTAATTTATGTCGAATATTTTTCATGTTGGATCAAGTTATTGGTCGCAGACTTTGTATCGCGATTTTCCCATTACCTACTCGTTTCAGTCTTGTCTTTGTACGATTGCCGGTATCATTAGACCCGTGTTTTTTCTGGAGCTCTTTATATATAGGTCTTATAGTTGCGATTATCACGTTGATGATCATCGTAAATTATCACATAATTATTTATGGTGTTCATCTTATTGATATCGTGAGTCATCACTTTAATATTATAATAGTCAACATTTTAATAATCATCGACAATTTTTATATTAAATATTTATCATCAAACTCGTGAAATACAATAGCCCCCGAATAATAACAGGGAAAAATGAATATAAAATGAAACGTGCGCGAATTATTAATTGACAGACGGATGGTCCTGGAAAAGAAGTGGCGGACGCTGATGTCTCCGAGGAAGATCAAAACAACTTACTGAAGTTCTTAGAGAAAAAAGAAACTGAGTACATGCGTCTTCGGAGGCATAAAATGGGTGTTGAAGACTTTGAATTATTAACTATAATTGGCAAGGGTGCGTTTGGAGAGGTATACTTCCGTGTATTATCAACTCCATTGGAGTCTGTTTTCTCCTTGCGCAATAAGTACTTATGCTGTAGATTACTCAATTTCCTTGTTATCCAACTAAAACTAACCTTTTGATTGCTTATTACTATTATTATTATATGGTGCAGGTTAGAATTTGTAGGGAAAAGACATCTGGCCAAGTATATGCTATGAAGAAGCTTAAGAAATCAGAAATGCTTCGAAGAGGCCAGATATTTATTTATTTTGGACAAATGGTGATGTCATGGATATGTATACCATTCATTCGGGTGGTTTCAATCTTTTTCTAGGTTGATCATGTGAAAGCTGAAAGAAACCTGCTCGCTGAAGTTGAGAGCAATTGCATTGTCAAACTCTACTTTTCTTTCCAAGATGACGAGTTCCTTTATCTCGTAATGGAATATCTACCTGGTGGAGATGTGATGACGTTACTTATGAAAAAGGATATATTGACCGATGATGAGGCTAGATTATATGTTGCAGAAACAGTTTTGGCTATCGATTCTGTCCATAAGCACGATTATATTCATAGGTTAGTATATAGATAAAGCGAATCGTCAAGGTGATTTCTCTGACAAAAGGTTAACCTTTGGAGTCTAAATGTTGCAGGGATATCAAGCCTGGCAACTTGCTTCTGGACTTGAGATTGTCGGGTTTTGGACTTTGGATTTCAGTACACTCCAGGAGCAGGAGTTTTCTGTAGGAAGCTGCGTTAAGGAGATTTCAGAAACTGAAGAACAATCAGGAGCTTCGAAACGAACACAGCAAGAGATAAATCGAAGAATGCTTTTAAATTCTCAACCATTATGTTTCAGGTAGACCTTCAACTCTCTATATCTAGTGCTAGAAATAGTAAACTAAATCAAGTTAAATACATTGGTCGATTTAAGCTTTGCTGCTTTTCTCTGGTGAATTAAATCGACCAATGTATTTAACTTGATTTAGTTTGCTATTTCTAGCACTAGATATAGAGAGTTGAAGGTCTAGCTGAAACATAATGGTTGAGAATTTAAAATAATACTTGGAAACAACTAAAATTCTAAACAAATATAATACACACTATCACTAAAATTTTAAACAAAATTAAACTAACTTGTTTGAACCAAAAAAATTCTACCAATGCTATAGTAAATATTATTTCATTGTTAATTTTTTTGTTCCAAATCTACTGAAATTACATGTGTAAAATTAAAATTAGATCTATAATAATATACAATCTAAAATTTTAAAACAAAAATGGACAAGAAATATAATATTACCAGATTTTTCTTCAAATGTTCTTACTTTTCCTTCCTTCATTCTTCTTCACTCTATTTTTTTCTCACACTTTATATTCAACTTCACCTATTTAATACCAAAAATCAAATCTCTCAAAAAAAATCTTGTTATCTATTCCTGTTATCTACCCCTAAATAATACTAGCTACTGTTCCAGTTCTGTCTGCCATCCCGCCCTGCATGCATGTCGCGTCTGCCATGCTGTAATTGTGAATTCGATCATGAAATAGTGAAGACGCCATGTCTTCATGGCGTTCACTTGTTTCATTAAAATATTTGCACAATAAAGACGTCATATTTTCGTGGCGTTCGATAACTTTTTATTCGAATTAATTCTCGGCCAATTCTGGCTTTTTAAACCGCTACTTTTTTCGCTCATTCTATTACAATCGGACGTTTGGCTTTGCCAGTTGGTTCCTCCTCTTCTTCTCGCAGGTCAATATAGCTGGGTTATTTTTCCCTCACAAACTATGGCTTCCTTTTGCAAAATGTGGGGATTTTCCAATGGGATTCTCTGTAGTTAAGGAAGCTGGAGCCTTTCTAATAGTTCAATTATATGATTTTTAGCTTCTTCTTTTTTTCCATTGATCTAGGTTGAAATCTCCAATTTGTTTTCTTTGATATTATTTTAGCTTCATTTTCTTTTTCCCTTCAAAACTTGGGGTCTCGTTCCACATTCTGGGGATTTTTACCATCAGATTTGTGTAGTTAAGGAAGTTGGAGCCTTTCTGATTGTTATGAACAATACGTTTTTACCATTTTTCCTAAGCTTAGATTGAATTCTCCAAATTTTTCTTTGATTTTCCATTTCAAATTTTGGGGATTTACTTGGAACCTGGAGCTTTTCAAAGAATTATAATAATAGCTAAAGTTTTCCTTCCATGGGCATAGATTGAAATCTCCGAATTTTTCTTTGATTTTTAGTTTTACCTTTTTTCCTTTCAAAACTAAGGGTTTTGGTTTCAAATTCTGGGAATTTTTCTGTCAAGTTATGTAGTTGAGGAAGCTGGGGCCTTTCAAATAC